CTCCTCCGCCTCCACCGCGCCCCGGCCCAGCCCAGCCCCGGGCAGGCGGAGCGGCTCCGCCCGGCCCCGCTGCCCGAGCTGCCGCGGCCGCTGCCCGCTCTCCTCCGGCCTTTGGTGAGCGACCAGCGGCGGGGAAAGGCAGGAGGGAGCTGGGACGAGGGGCAGCGGCAGGGATTGGAGGGACTGGAGGGATCGGGGGATCGGAGTGACCGGAGGGATCGGAGGAGTCGGAGGGACGGGAGGGACCAGAGGGATGGGAGGCATCGGAGGGATCGGAGTGACCGGAGGCATCGGAGGGGTCGGAGGGACGGGAGGGACCGGAGGGACGGGAGGGATGGGAGGGATGGGAGGCATCGGAGGCTGGGGGAGCGCGGGCGGCTCCTCGGAACTCGCTTGTCCCCCCCGAGCGCAGCGAGAGGAGCAGGGAAGGAAAGCAAACAGGAGCAGCACAGCTCACTAGCAAACACATTCTGCTTTTGAGAACTCTCCCTCGGCACAAACTGGGGAGCCCTTGGCAGATTTTGGCTGCTCCTGACCCGGCGCATCCCAGCCCAGAGCAGCAGAGTGGAGCAAAGGGTCTCCCGTAGGGGCAAACCGAGCTGAAGGAAAATCCTAAAAGTGCAGCAATAGCCTGTAGGAAGCTCAGCCAGCTTTTCCCCCGGAGGACATTTGTCCAAGCTGCAGATCCAGCAGCTCCAAAGGTCCCCAGGCTCCCCCCTGCCCCCGGGCAGAGAGGAGTCGCTGCGGGTCACGCAGCAAAGACCAGAGCAGGGAGGGGATGCTCACATGGAAATGGGAAGGAAGGGAGGGGAAACAGATGGATAAAGCCCAGATTCCCCACTGTACTTAACGGCCACACTTGAATTGAGATGGTTTTGAGGAGTTCCTGTCTGCACAGAAAATATTTATGCTCTTCTTTCAAGCATCTTTCTGGTAAGGGAAGGGAAGGGTACCTGGCAGGGAAAAACAGGCAGGGAGGGGTGGGTTCCTTGTTTTTAGGGAGAACAGTGGAAGAAAGGATGAGAAATAACTTAAACCCTCAACCCCTTCTGAAAACAATGGTGCTCTTGCGAGGAAAAATTGTAAATGCATTATTTTCATACATATCTTTCCTTATATACCAGTCCAGCACATCCTGAGGGGGCTGAACCTAAAGCAGGGACATAACCTGCCCTAAAACTTACCCCATTCTTGATGTGGCCACCCCAGGCTTTCCTTTACAGACAAGAATGATGGAGAGGAATGGGAATTCTTGGATAAGATGTTTTTAAAGTTTTTACTTGCACCACACCAGGCTCTCTCACTATTAAGAAACCCTGTGTCCTTTTACCATCTGCTTAATCCCACAAAAAACATTAAAGCTGCCTGAAGAAAAAAAAAAAAAAAAAAACAATCAAGGAGCTTGTTTAAGTCAGGTGTGTATTTCTAGAAAGGAAAATTTTCATATTTACAATGAGTTATTGCTAAAATATGAAGGAACTCATCAAATTACTATGGTAAATTCACCAGATGTTTGAAGAGACTGAATATACAGGTTCCACTCCTCACACCCACTAGGATTTTTAAATCTATCCATTTTGTGATGGATTTCACACAGTTCCAAAGCACCAAAAGTTCACTTGAGCTGAATTAAAGTAAATCCCTAAAGACTTTTCATTGTGATTCAACTTCACCACTGAAAGAACTCCCAGCTTTTATTCACATACCTTATTTTTTACTTTTGTGAGTAGTGATCTCCCAAGCCACTTGGAAAGAACCAGATCTTTATGTTTGAATGACAGGGTGAGTTACATTTTTAAAAGTTAATTGTATTTCTGATGCAGAGGGATAAAGTCACCAATTTTACAGTTGTCAGGGGTTGGAGTCAGTAGTAGGACAAGGTGGAGTCCAAAAAAAAATCAAGGTTTTTTTTGCTATCCTTGTAGGAAAGATGTCCTGTTAGACTGAGTTAGAAAAATGGGTTCCAAACCCAGAACAGAAAGGCACCACTGCAGCTGCTCAGCTTTTCCCCACATTCCTTGGAAATTCCCCTTTGTTTATAAGGGATTTTACAGCTCAAGGGTTTATTTCCTGCATCACAGCACAAAGGACTTTTCTTTCATTACAGAGTAATTTCACAGGTCTGGCATCTATAGCAAACTCTCTTTTTACACACAGGTAATAGAGCAAAGAATATAAGACAGCACAGCAGTACTTAAAGAAAATTATATTTAAATACTCTTTTGCTAAGAGATTACATTGATGACAAATTAGTTGATATTGATAATGTTTAGACAAGCTGGGAAAATTAATACCATATCTGGAAGCTCTGGGATTCTTGTCAAGATGAGTTTTTCCTCCAACCTCTTGGAAAAAATAATCCAATAATCCATATTTGGGAAATGTTATCACAAGAACAAGACTGTATCTTGTCATGGAAAAAATGACATTTTGAACAGCGTAAATTAGAAAACGGAGCTGCTAAAAGAAGAGTTGCATGGAAGTCTGAGCTTATATTTGGAAGGCCAAATCATTCTTTGGAATGCATCCATCTTCTGTTAACTGTTTTTAATATTCATGGAATATAGGCCAAGTGTTAAAGAGAGTTGTTTAAAAAATGCCAGCCAGTGTCAAAAAAGTCTGTATCTATCTCCTGATAATTTCAGGTTAAGGCTGGAACTTAAACATAATAAATTTACTTAGGAAAAAAAGGAAGTAAATACAGTGGTGTGTAGAAAATTGTTTAAATAAGTAGCTGGTTATGTTGCTTGAAGGATACTGAAGCTACACTTCCAAACTGTCCTGGTTGGGCTGAGACATTGTCATTTGAGTGGGAACAACAGGCAGGTTAACCAAGTTTTTACATTTACTTTTTATAAAAAATATTCCTTGAATATTGCCAGCCATTGGCTAGGGACTGTTCCCTTACAGAGAGATAAATGAGTTTTTGAGAAGGAAATTAATCAAACTTCTAGCATGTTAGTACTTTCAAAAACTCAAGAATAATTTAGGGGAAAAAAATCACTAGAAATAAATAAGTTTCTTAAGTACAACAGAGTGAGTAAAGACCATCTGAATTAAAATCTCACTTTCTGCTTGAATTTAGTCTGATGAGCAAGAATTTTGCTCTTTGGAGCTGTAATTTCTTAAAAATCTATCAGCAAGAGACATGCCAGTTTCTGGAAACTTTCTCCCACTCAGTCAGGGCTTAATAGATTGTACCTGCACTAATGAGGCACCGAGGCATCCACTTAGCATCTCCCAATAGATTCTTGCTCCTTGGAAATGTAATACAATAACAAATCATGATTGCTGAGCCTCCCTGTAGAAAAAGTGCTTCCCAAACAGCAAAAATTAAGGAGGCATTTTATGGTGAGGTCAGGGTTTAGAATTTCCACAAAGCAATCCAAAGTTTTGGGCTGGTTTCTTTCCTGTTTTTTTGTTGTTTTTTTTTTTTCAATCTGTCCTGTCTTAGTGTACTTTGTTTCAGTGTAATTAAACTGTGCAAACATTAAACCCCATTTATTCATTATTATTGCTTTCTTCTACTGGCAACTGAGTTAGAGATAAGGAATTGCATCAGTAGCTCCTGAAGAAAGGGCACATTAACCTGCTTTGGAACAGGAGCACTCCTGATCAATTCTGCAAGTTGCTTCCCAAATCCTGCCCTATCCAACCTCAGCAGTGCTAAGGAGAAGGTTTGGGAAGCAGTGAACACCATTTACTGCATTCTACTGTTTTATTCACAGAATTCCAGAATTGTTGGGCTGGGAGGATCTCTGGAGATCATGCAGTCCAAACCCAAATGTATGTCATATATTTTATATGCAACCAAGGAGAGCTGTCTAGCTCTCCAAAGAGGCAGCTTTCTTTACTGGTATTTTTTGCAGTTGAAGATTCATTTAAAGTTGCTTTTTTTCCCTTTATTTTACCATCCATTTGAATGGAAGTATGTGGGGGTGAAGATCAGTCATTCCAGCATCTTACACCAGCTCCTTGCCTTGGCCATGCCCCCTACACTCAAACACACTTGAAGAGGTGGAGACAAAGACACAGCCTGGGATGTAACCACATTCCAGACATGCTGGTTTAATTTCCATGGAGTCATTTCTGTCCTCAACACCCATGGAGTCATTTCTGTCCTCAGCATCCATGGAGTAATTTCTGTCCTCAGCATCAACTGAGTAATTTCTGCCCTCAACATCCATGGAGTCATTTCTGTCCTTAACATCCATGGAATAATTTCTGTCCTCAATATCCATAGAGTCATTTCTGTCCTCAACACTCATGGAGTCATTTCTGTCCTCAACATCCATGGAGTTATTTCTGTCCTCAACACCCATGGAGTTATTTCTGTCCTCATTCTCAGGAGATGCTCAAGGGCTCTGAGCTGTGAGCAGCTGGCACAGAGGAATTGTCCTGGCAGAGCCTGAAGGAATCCAGGATCACAGCACTCGCCAGGGTGCTCCTGTCTCCTCTGCCTATGGATGCTGCTGGCACCAAGGACACGGCTCCTCTCCCGACACCCACCTGTGAGTAAAGCCCAGGCAAGAAGGAATTTGACCTCTCATAAGGCAGCACAAATCATTTGAGTTTAAACCCTGATTACTGGAATAAAAAGGATGAAGTTAAATGAAGTATTGCATCACTGAGTTTCAATAGGAAATGCTGATTATTGAACAATCTGTTGCATTGTATTGCTCTGGCCATGTTTAGAGTTCTGAGGGTGAGAAATCCCATGCATACCTCAGTGTCAGTTGTGTAAATACTTTGAGCAAATATATTCACAGTCTCAATTTCCTTCCTTATTGCTTTAAGAGATTTACCAGAACATAAACTCAGACAAGCTATGAAATGGCACAGAATGTGTGCTACCCTCACAGACATTTTTCAGCAATGGACTGGAGGCAGAATTTGGTCAGTTGATAATTTGCTCCAAGATACAAAATATTATTAATCAGTTCTGCACTGTGGATCAATACATGAAGTTAGCAGTTGGGAAGCAGAAGATGCTTATTAATCCTGAAAAATCCCATTATTTGATCTCAAATAGACCTGGCATCTTTAAATGTTTGAAATCTGTGTGAGCCTAAATTGTGTAGGCAGAGATTACTCATTACCTATAATTTGAATGACTGCCAGCTGCTGGATTCTCAAACTGTTAGCTGGAGGTTGTAAATAAGCACTGGCTTGTTTAAATTATTTAGTACAAAACATGTTAATATTGCTTTTTACTAGCACATTTTAAATTGGTTTGCCAATATGGAGCTTATGTTATGGTTCATGATCAGCTGTTTAATGAGATATAATGAATTAAAACTGTGAGGAATTCAATTTCTTCTTCAGATTGTGGGATCTGAAGAAAGAGATGAAGCTCTATGAAAACTGTTTGGGATTGGTTAGTGGGGTTTCATAAAACACAAATTACCCGTATTTAGAATGTTGTAAAAATTTGTTATTTAGGAAAGCCCTAAAAGGGACAGTGCTAAGCTGAGGCACAAATTAGCTTTATTATCTTATTACTACAGTGACTGAGTATGCTTTTTTTTCTTTCCTCTAGTTCTGGAAATAAAAATTCCCAAGCAACCCAACACGTTTTCATCCAGGAGTGCAAACCATGACTGAACGTCCAAGGCCTGGACGCCCACTCCGATTCTCACTCCGTGTGCCCGCAAAAAAGATGTCCAACAACACAACAGAGGCCTCCAGCAACACTCCCCCAGCCCTCCTAGGTCTGCTCCTGGGAGGCATTTCCCTGGTCACCATTGTCATGAACATTCTAGTGCTGTGCGCTGTAAAAATGGAGAAGAAGCTGCAGACTGTGGGTAATTTATACATCGTGAGCCTCTCCATCGCTGACCTGATTGTGGGGGTGGCCGTGATGCCCCTGAACATCGTGGACCTGCTGAGCCCTGCGTGGCCCCTGGGGCTGGAAGCCTGCTTGTTCTGGCTCTCCATGGATTACGTGGCCAGCACGGCCTCGATTTTCAACCTCTTCATCCTGTGCGTGGACCGCTACCGCTCGGTGCAGCAGCCGCTCCAGTACCTCAAGTACCGCACCAAGATGAGAGCCTCGCTCCTCATCCTGGGGGTCTGGCTGCTCTCCTTCACCTGGGTCATCCCCATCCTGGGCTGGCACCTTTTTGCCAACAACGGGCAAAGGACGGTGGAGGAAAACAAGTGTGAGACGGAGTTCTTCAAAGTCACCTGGTTTAAAGTGCTGGCGGCCATTTTCAACTTCTACCTGCCCTCCCTGCTGATGTTGTGGTTCTACTGCAAAATCTTCAGGGCTGTTCAAAAACACTGCCAGCACCGAGAGCTCAACAACAGGTCTCACTTGTCCTCCACGGAAAAAAACACCGTGCAGCAGACCAAGACAAAGGATGACAAAAATATTTGCCTCCAGGAGCAAATCATTGGTGAGAACAGCCCCGGTGTAGACAAGGAAAACTCCCCAGAGCCCCAAAAAGTGGAGGCAGAGCTTCATTTCAGCCATCCTGACAAGGCTTCAAAGGCCCTGTGTAATGGGAAGGTCATGAAGTGGAGCTGTTTCTCCCTCACCACAGCCAAGCCTGAGCCTGGCTTGGATAAAGCAGAGAAGAGGGGAGCGTGTGCCACGAAAAAACCTGGGGCCAAGGAGCAGCCTGACTGCCAGGACAGTGACTCCAGCGGGGCATCAGACAACCACACCTTCACTGAGGTGGTCCCCCAGGCAGAGCCCAGCCCCGAAGGAGCCTGCCATCCTCAGGGGAGCACGGAGCGCAGGGACTCCAGGGAAACGACATTCCTGAGGAAAACCTGGCACGCCCTGCACAGCCATTCCAGGAGCATCCACCGGCACGGCAACCGGGAGAGGAAGGCAGCCAAGCAGCTGGGGGTGATCATGGCAGCCTTCATGATCTGCTGGATCCCCTACTTCGTGTTGTTCATGGTGATAACTTTCCACGACCACAAACAGCTCTTAGAATTGCACAGGGGCGCCATATGGCTGGGCTACGTCAACTCCACCTTAAACCCCTTCCTCTATCCTCTCTGTAACCAGAATTTCAAGAAGACTTTTAAAAAGATCCTTCACATTCATTGATGCTGGGCTGGGGTTTTGGAGCTCAAGTGCAGCTCAGGAGTTCGACCAAACAAAATGTTCTGGTTTCAAAGGATGGGTACAGTAAAAGACTTTGGCAAACTGTAATCTGTAAAGAAGTGGTAGTAAAAGTGGGAGATGTGCATTTAATAGTTTTAACACATTTGAAGAGCGACTTCAGGTCAAGAATCTGAAAAACTCAAAGTCAGTACATGAACTGTTACGCTGTTGTCAACCTTTTACTGTTTGAGACCACCACTTCTATCACAGAAATGGAGACAAAAATAAATCTCTTCAGTGATTATAAATTATTCAGCTACAGAACAGGAAGAAATCACATTTCTGTCATTGGCCACAAAAATTTTTCTCTTTCAACTTACTCCATTACATACATTGCTTGTGAAGTGAGATTTGCAAGTGGAGGTACTTCGCACAAAGAACCTGAAACTGTTTAAAAAAAACTCACCTATTTATTTATAGCTTCCTCCAAAGCACAAACTTTTCATCAAGTGTCACGTTTTAGTGTGTATGCTACTGTATCTCTTTGATATCATGCTTATATTAACTGTACATTAACTTTGCTGAAAAAAAGTAGATTTTTTTTCTCCCAAAAGCGTTTCCATGCTCAATATACTGTCACCATCTGCTCCAGAAGAGTGTGCTGCTGTTTCTAGACTTGAGGAATATAGCTGATTATACATAAAATATGTTTACCTTTTCTACCTTTTATATTTAATTGTATTTCATAAATCTTGCTGTCAAATATTTCAGGAGAAAAACACAATAATAGAATTCTCGATGTTCGATGAAAAGACTTCAAGAAGATGCTGGAGTACAACTGAAGGCCAGGCTGGCTTTGATGTTACAAAGAAAAAAGAAATTCCTCTCATTCCTTTTGTTGTGATGATGAATTTCCCACATTCTATACCGTTTCTTAGTTGTATTTAAAGGATTCAATATTAAAAGAAGCCCTAATATATCTGCATTTTAATACATTGGGGAAATATGCTAAAGAAATAAACTTAAATCCATGCTATATCAGTGTATCATGCAAGGTTCAGAGATTAATTGACTTTGGTTTCAAGTTGCACTCAGGAAAAACCGCAATTAGGAATCTTAAATCTAGCAGAAATAAGGCAAAATGCAGCGAGAGAACATAAAACCAACAAAATTCAGCGCAGAATGCAGACAAGTTTTTCACTGCAGGAGGAACACCTGCACAAGTAGTAAAATGCACCTCTTTGCAGTAGAGAACAGAACTTTTTGAAACACATGCTCTAATTCCTGACCTTTCACAAACAATTGCTGAGGTTCACAGCCATTAAATTGTTCTTTTTTCTATTCCGATTTGCAACAGCAATTCTGGCCAAAATGGATGGCAATTTAGATGGTCCCTGAGGAAATAAAAGTCAGCCACAGTTATTGGTGCTAAAAAACACATTTACCCAAGGACTGCTGAGAAATCTGTCCTGTTGATCATAAAAATTGCCTTTTTTGACCTTAAAATGTACTAATACACAAAAAAAACCTCAGCAAGGTCATTGAAAATTGATAAAAATCATTGAAAATTGGTCTAAAAATGATGGTGACTGTGACAACAAAAACCTTTGGTAAAAATAAAGAACATTCAAACAGCTAAACCAAGGAAAACACAGCTGCCTGAATTTTTTTTAATTTCAAGCCAATTTACCCATGATTGTTGTGTAACTGTGTTAATAGCAAAGACAGGGGATTTGTGATAACCACATTTTATATATATAGCTATTAGATAACAATAAAACAGAGAAATGGGATAGTGTCTATTTTAAATAGCAAGTACCTAAGAAAATTTCTGAGTTTATTTCACTGAACAGGCAATTCCAGTGGCTCTGGATGTGAGGGAAGCAGAGGAAAGCAAATTTCGGTAAGAAATGGAGAAACCTCCCACCAATGTAAGGCCAAAGCTCAAGAGAATATTTCAGGTGTGGTTTCCTGTAAAATGTTTTCAGTGTTTTCCAGTTGACAGCCAAGGTCAGAGGACATGGAGTTTCAGAGAACACAACAAGAGTCTGAGGATTTCTAGGAGATACGTAAAACATGTTCACTCTCTTGTAAAAATGTTAAAACTTTAATAAAGGACAATAGGACCATAGAGCAACAGTTATTATGGCTGGGTGCATCTTGGCACTCAGTCAAGAGCACACCTGCTATTTTGGAAACACCCTTCATATACCATTTCTATTGCATCAGCCTGTTACATATATATACTGTTATGCATAGTAACAACTTTTCCTCAAACTAGTTTACAAATTCCAAGAACTGTTCAGCACAGCTCCTCCTCAGTTCTGCCTTTTTAGGGCATGCACATTCCTTGGTGGTGGTTTCAGTCCATTCTTACCAGCTCCAGTGATAAGAATGAACCTCTATAAGAATGGCTTTGGTCCATAACTGTTGGTACTTTTGGTCCAAAATATAGTCCATATTTTCTTCAGACGGTGAGTGCTGACAGTTGGCATTTCTGTACAATGTCCTCACCCTGTCTTCATGGGATGTGATCCCATCCAAGCAGGTACTTTAACACATACACACTTATATCAGCAATTTCACTAAGCTTAATTAACAACAGAAATAAAACCGGCATCTTTATAACAAAGTTACTTTAACATTACGCATATAAAAATCCCTTTTAGTACCTGCAAAAATCCAATATTTTGTGTCCATAACATATTATTATAACATATTGTAATATAATTAACATATATGTCAATGATATATGTTATTATAATTAACTATGTGTTAATTATATTAACATATTACTATACTATGTGTACCAACACATAGAGATGTGCTGGGACTTATGTTTAGCAGCACAAGCTGCTCCCGGAGCGTTCCGTGGTCACCGGGGACACCTGGCGGGCCGGGAACCAGCCGGGAATTTCACCGCCCTTCCCACATTCCCAGCAAAGGCCACAGACAGAGAGGAACCACGACTGCAGGGACGCGTTTAGGCACTTTCCCACGACTAAAATGAAATTAAATTGCTGGATTTTCTCAGGGCTCCGCCGTGTGCCGGGGAAGTTGGAGCGGCACACGGCTCCAAGCGCTGCGGGACGCGGGCCCGCCCGACTGCTCCGAGGCGGGGGATGGGAACCGGGATGGGAACCGGGATGGGAACCGGGATGGGAACCGGGAGCGCACGGGAGGCGGCCCGGGCCGGGCCCGCCCTCCGTGCCCGCACGCCATCGCCCCGCGCCGCCCGCCCGTCACACGCTGCGCATCAGCGCCGTGCGCCGTGCCGGAAGGGCGGAGCGAGCGGCGCAGCCGGTAAGGGACGGCGGGCACGGGCGG